CAAAATACATTCATGAAACTCAACAATGACAGCCACTGCTTTGGAAATGAGCACTGTAAGCAGGACTGATGAGAAAAGAAGGACGGTAAAAATAACATTAAACATAAAAAAGATAAGATAGCTATGGGACGCCTGGGTGGCTCAGTCGGTTAAGCCGCTGCCTTCGGCTCAGGTCATGATCCCAGGGTCCCGGGATCAGTGGGGAGCCTGCTTCTCTCTCTGGCTCTGCCTGCCACTTTGCCTGCTTGTGCTCTCTCTCTCTGACAAATAAATAAATTAAATATATTTTTAAAAAAAAAGATAAGATAGCTAAAAATAGAACAGAGCTCAAACTGTGAAAGAACACTATGAAAATTGTCATTAAATTAGAAAGAAATGAGGATGTATGAAATAATAATGTAACCTAATCAATAGCTAATGCCTACCCATCACCCGAAACACCAGGCATGGATACTTTTATAGTCCAATTTTGCAAATTGGTCAAATAATGGATAATTTCAATTTTGTACAACATATTCTAGAGAATAGAAAAAGGGAGCTCTCCGACACATTGTGTGAGCTATGGTGAACAGGAGCAGGGTTCCATGTCCTAGGACCAGAGCCCTCGTCAGGGAAGTAGAGATGCCCGGTGCTGGCCTCTCCCTACCATGGGCTCCATGATTTTATATACACTTGTTCTTTGTATCTTGGAAGCAATTCCAGGCACATGGAAAGATATTTTATCCCTGAGTCCACCTTGCTTAGACTGTAGTCATTTCCCAAGTAGATCTGTAGGACTGTCTCCTTCACCTGCTGGCTCCACGGACGGGTCACTCAGAACCTCCAACACCCGGTCACAAGAAAGACATGAGCAGTAACACTTGAGTGAGAATAGTGAAACCGTGAAGCAGAGCCTTTTGACAACGTTCCAACAAGTCAACCAAACGTTTTTACTGCGTTCATTGAGTGGCCTTCCCAGTTAGGGGGGACTCGGCTGTGTTTTCTTGGGCAAGCAGTGGAGAGCCAAAGTCATCCTCCCTGTCCCCAGCACCTTGCTCCCACCCATCCAGTCCTCTGTGCTCTCATTCTCTCTCTGAAGGAAAGGATGCTTGTAACTCCAGTGAACCCCCTGATAAAAGTGGACAGACGTTAATGGCTAGAGAACAATGAGAAGTTCTGCTCACAAAGGGAGAATTAAATTAACTATAACACAGCTTCCTAGGTTTCTTACCATGATATGTTTCCATGTTATACACCAGTGTTGAAGGCCAATGAGGTTGAGTCTTCTTCCACAAATAAGCTAGAAAGAACCTAATTTGTAATATCTGGTGACTTATTATGGCATGAGGCTCTGCTGTGGGCTGGGGAGACATAGCATTACACAAAGACTAGTGAACACAGGGAGAACAACAGTCTTTGACCTGCAGAATGAAGAGGAGCTGCCAGCTCAGGTAGCTTCCCAGGGCATCTCTTCATCCCTGTATCTCTCAATAAGTCAGTGCATTCAAGAGACTTCTAGGGTGAAATTGAGACCCACCCCCACCCCAGTGCCCATTCTTGCCCACAAAATGGATAATGTTGAGTGTGTGTCACTGAGAGAATGGAAGGGGTGGTGATAGAATAGTTGAGATCCTGACTTGCAGATGAGACAATGAATTCCCCATTAGTCCCCTGTATTAAAGGTGCTGTTGACACATCTCAGTGATGATGCCCAGCAGACAGAGGTGTGATGGGTGAAGGAGAAGATAACACAGTGTGAGGCCACTGCCTCCAGACGGCACTGGAGCTGAAAAGGACAACCTATGCATTGACTTTGTTAAGAAAGGAGCTTATAAATAAATTAGTCATCCATGTATGTTATAACATAAATCGTGTCTCCTGAGGTTGGGGGAATTGATAGAGGTAGTGATGTCACTGTGAGAACTCCCTTGTGCAGACAAGGGACCTCCCTCCTTCTCGGCTCATGCTCACGAAAACCTCTATTTGATGAACCACCCAGCCCAGCCCTGACTCCACCAGGGACCCCAGGCTCCTCTGCTGGGTGACCCTCTGTCTCCTGGGGGAAGGTGAGTCTTCAGAACACCAAGCGGTTTCAGTGAATGCTTGTGTGTGAGTGTGAGCAATGATTACGTGCCAGGAGGACAATCCATTTCTCCTGACTGTGCCCGACTTCTATCTCCACAGGTCACGCAGGACCTGGAGTCTCCCAGTTCCCCAGGCACAGGGTCACGAAGAGGGGCCAAAATGTAACTCTCAGTTGTGATCCCATTTCTGGTCATGTTGTCCTTTATTGGTACCGACAAACCATAGGGAAAGGCCCGGAGTTTTTGGTTTACTTCCAAAACGAGGAAGAATTGGACAAATCAGGGATGACCAATGATCGGTTCTCTGCTGAGAGGTCTGAGGGGACCCGCTCCACTCTGCAGATCCAGCGTGCAGAGCAGGGGGACTCAGCTGTGTACCTCTGTGCCAGCAGTCCCACCACAGTGGGGCACCGTCACCTCCTTGCTCCTCACAAACCTCAGACTCCTCTCCCCTTGCTGTAGCTGGAGCCCCTAAACTGTCTGCCCTTTGCTCTTCATTCCCTGATGGACAAGAAGTAGATTTGGACATCAGCTGTCCTTTGGCTAGGAAGAGACTCTAGATAAACTCCCGAAATGCATGTAAATGTTGGTGGATGAAACCATTCTGACTCATTGGGTTCCAGGAGTCCCAGAACCAGAGTATAGCTACAAGCCCAGGACTGATGGTCGGGGACACAAGGGGTCTGCTACAGAACCTGAGGCTTCTGTTAGCGGACACACCTCCTTGTCTGCACAGATTTGTGGCTGGGCATGTGGAAAGTTCCTGACCACCTTCTTGGGCACATTCTTTCCTCTAAAGCCTCTTCTGTCCCTGAAACATTGGAAACCTTCAGCAACAGATTAGCAGCCTGTCTTCGTGTTTGGTCTTCACTGCTTTTGTGGTGGTGGAAGGACCAGCCCCATAACAATGAGAAGACCTCAATTCCTCTGACCAGTTTGGGAGGCTCCCTGTCTCTGTTTGTTGTCATTTTTCCAGCACTGTGAGTCCTGGCAGTGAGCCCACAGCACTTGAATGGGCTTCCCCAACCTTACCTACCCTGATGCCCTGAGTGACTCTGAGATTCCTAGAGATGGTGTGTTTTCTTCGATACCCAAGCCTTCTGAGTTGAAATTATTTCCTCGAATTCTTTGATGTGAGAAGACAGGATATTTTCTTTATAATAGTGCCCCTATTCCTTTTTACTTGTTTTATTTGCTGTATTATATATTGTTATATTGTTACCTGTTATAAATATAAATAATTATGCAGTAATAACATCTTCCACTGGAGTGCATGAAGCTGTGGATTGGGTCTATGGAATCTAAAGCCATGCTCTGGGTTCATAGGATCACGGATCATGGGTTTCTGGGTGTCCTGAGGAGATAGCCCAGGACTCCTAGACTGGGACAGAATGTCACAGACTCAGTGATGACGGAGGTGTCCTGAGACTTGCATAGCTGGCAAGGGGGTTACAGTCACTTCAAATCTACTCAGAATTGTGGTAGCTCAGGATACCAAATATCTTTCTCCAGAGAATGAGTGTCCTTGGAAAGGAGTTTTCCTGGTCTTATTTTTTCCTCTATTTATTTGTTTATTTATTTACTTATAGAGTGGGAGAGAGAGAATCTTAAGCAAGCTCCACTCTTAGCATGGAGCCCGAAGCAGGGCTTGATCCCAGGACCTGAGATCATGACCTGAGCCAAAATAAAGAGTCAGACTCTTAACCGACTGCGCCACCCAGGTACCCCTGGTCTTATTTTAATTGTGGTATCAGCAAAGCACTGTTTGCGCTGCTGCCCTGTGTCTGTGGGAATGAGAAAGTCTAGGGCACAGTTAGGAGTTCCTTATCCTTGGAATGGCATTCTGGGGACTTCCTCCCTGGACCCTGTCTCCAATTTTGCCGCCTTTCTCCACACAACCCTGGCAGATTCAGCTTCCTTATAATACTCTCTTCACTCCCTGCTGCCTAAATGAGCAGATGTACTTTGTACAAACTATCCGTTTAGTGTAGATGATCCTTTGCTTATTTTAATTCCATCCATCCTTATTTTTCCTATTAGATATTGCATCCTCCTTGATTCCATATTATCTTATAAGATGTCTTGTATTTTTCTTATATTCCGATTTTACTTTTTATTGACACACACTGAACCCCATCTTGAAGGTAATCTCATCGTATCCCTAGTCTTCCGTGGATCTGTATTTTGGAGGGGCCCTTTGGTGGTGGAAGGGGCATCTTTGTTTATTTCTAGTAAAAGAGATAAAAGAACCTCCTTACACTTCAATCTTCTTCATTTTCCTTCCTATTTTAGACTAAATACTATTTTCTTCCATACCTCCCATTCTGTCCCTCTCCCTTTTTTGAGATAGCTTTGAAGGAGATTTCATTCAGGCTTAACTGTCAGATATGTGATAGTTGTTTAGTAAGAGGGTGGGAGATTAAGCACGGTAGCTCCAAGGAATAGAGTCAGGATTAGGCGTTGGTGTTCAGATTAGGGTTTCAGGAAACTGAGCGTAAAATTTGCAGAATGCTACTTCTGGGATAGTCTCCCAGCTGACTCTGCAGCACTTCCCAGCATCCCTTGGGCCATTGCAGAAGAGGTAATGGTGAAACTGCAGGCATTGGCCACAAGATGGCACTGTGATGCCACTGACATCAAAGGGGCTCTGAGGGAGGGCTGGGAGAGCAGCCAAGGGAAGGAAAGGGTTAAGAAAAACTTAGGCCTGGATCCAATATCAGGCAGATGTGGAAGAAGTTTTCAGTTATTGCTCGGCTACCTAGCTATGGAAGAGGTGGGCGGTCCCTCTAAACCCTAATGAGTTCCACAGTTGAAGGATTTGGGCAAGGCAGCCTTGACGCCAGGGGCAGGCGCAGAGGAGCAACTGTCTCAGAGGAATATGGGAAACCGAGGGGGTGTGGCGTACCCTAAACTCCGTGCATCACAGCCACACCCCATCTCCCCTGCAGGCCTTGCTAAAGAATGTTAGGAGAGGAGTAGCTGACCCTACTTGAGCTGAGTCAGAAGGGACCCTGGGCCAGACAATCTGCAGGGGTGGGATGCAGTGACATCCCACGGAGACTCATTTGTGCATTGGAGAAGGGCTTCCAAGCTCCCTTTCTCGGTCCTGTGGATGAAAGGATTTAGGTGGGACAGCCCTCTTCTTGTCCTGCCTCTGCCATGAACCTCAACCTCTTTTGTGTGACTCTTTGGCTGCTGGGAGCAGGTGAGTTCTGGACCCAGCTGGAAATCAGTGCCAAGGTTTTGCAAAATCCCAGCTCCAAGCTCTTCCCTTTCTTTTGCAGATGCAGTTTACTCCTTAAGCCTCGCCTTCCCCTCTGTCTGCCTCTGCCAACAGGTCCCATGGATGCTGAGATCACCCAGATGCCAAGATACAGCATTATACAAACAGGAACCAAGAAGACCCTGGAGTGTTCTCAGGATATGAACCATTTTGCAATGTTCTGGTATCGACAAGACCCAGGACAGGGGCTGAGGCTGATCTATTATTCAAGTGGCAGCCCAAGCACTACCAAAGGGGATGTTGCCGAAGGGTACAGCGTCTCCCGAAAGGAGCAGAAGCATTTCCCCCTGACCCTGGAGTCTGCCAGCACCAACCAGACCTCTGTGTACCTCTGTGCCAGCAGTGAATCCACAGCATGGCTCAGCCAGCTGCTCTCTGCACAAAAAACTCAGCTGCAAGCATGGAGACTCCTTCCTGAGTCCCTGCCTCAGGATGAGGGAAAAACTGCCCCTACTGAGGCTTTCACCCTACCCCGATGCTGAGCAGGATGGCCCTCACTGTGAACTGTGCTCCGTCATGTGCCGGGGGAGAGCTCCTAATATTATTCCATGCAATCTGGAATATTCTGGTAATTGAGTAAAACAGAGGATCAAGTAGCATCTCACGTGAAATTAATATTTCACTTTCTTCTCAATGAACAGGAACAAAGCAGAAAGCAGCTGAGCAGTTTTAAACTCCCTGAATGGTCTGGGATTCTCCAGATCTAAAACTATTACAGAAAGTTGCCTTGGGGTCAAAACCATTGCATACTCTGCAAAAATTCTCTGGAGGAAAACAAACAAACAAACAAACAAACAAACAAAACCTCTTAATAACTAGTTATAAAACACACAAGTAGGGGCACCTGGGTGGCTCAGTGGGTTAAATCCTCTGCCTTCAGCTCAGGTCATGATCTCAGGGTCCTGGGATCGAACCCCACATCGGGCTCTCTGCTCAGACGGAAGCCTGCTTTCTCCTCTCTCTCTCTGCCTGCCTCTCTGCCTACCTGTGATCTCTCTCTGTCAAATAAATATATAAAATCTTTAAAAGAAAAACAACAACACACAAGTAAACAAGCCACTTAGGGAAACGTTAGTAGATACATCAAACAGCATTATTACAACCAAAGGGACTACAAACTAAGTCTCTGCCTGTGGCTGTAGGGCAGTGGTTTGAGTCTTCTGAGGCTCAGGGAGGGTAGCTTAAGGAAGGGACCGATTTCTTACCACCCCTTTGGCTTGGTGGGAGATTCATGAGCTCCCTGGGTTTTTCCTTGTAAAACATTACAAAAGGATATTGGGCAATAATTTTATTCTCTCCACAGCCCATTTCCCTCCTTGACTCCTTACAGGTAGAGTCAACCCAAAATCAACATTGCCTGGCTTGGGATCCATTAACTCCAAGACTGGGCTTCCATAGTTGGATTTTACAGGAAGTACAAACACCATGAGCCGCACACCCCTGGTCACATGCTCCCTTTGTACACCCCTGAGCCGGCAAAGGTGCTGCTGGCTCACCCAGGACCTGCTTGCAGAGAGAGGTACAGGCTGCTTGCCTGGAAAAGTAATCAATCCACAGACTGGCCAAGCTAAGCTGCTGAAAGCCTAATGAGATGCTGAATGGTGAAACTGATAAATGACCAATTTTCCAAACCATGGAGTTTACAACAGTTCAGGATTCATAGAATAATCTCTAAAATACTGGAGGATTTTTTTTTACATTTTTGACCCTCAAAAACTCAGCCATGATCCTCAGCTACTTCTTAGCAAACTTATTAGTTTAGTTTATTTTAATGCCAAATTTGGGTGCTATATGTTTCAGTCTCCAGGAACGCGTCACGTTTCTCAGTGTTTCGTGTATGTGAGTGTCCTTGTCTTCTCTTACTTGTGTGTGGTTGCATGGGGAACGCAAGCATAAAATTATGTATATCTCCCATCTTTCAGGAAATTCACTGACTTATGCTTAAGTAATAGCTTATTAAAGTATAATTAGTAGAGAGTAAAAAGACTCAAATTAATACATGATACATGGATGGCTTGGTAAATTTTGATGAATGTCTACACTGGTGCAACCATGACCAAAATCAAGATAAAGAACATTTCCATCACCCAAGAAAGTTTCCTTGTGCGCATTTCCAATCAATTTCTTTCCCAGAGCTAAGCATTTTTCTGATTTTTATCACCACATTTTGTTTATACTTGAACTTCTTGGGAAAGAATTTCAATCTAAAATGGAACCAGGAGGATATAAAATGGAAAATCTCATGCATGTGCCTTCAGAAAAACAAAATGTAAGGACTGAGAGATTGATTTCCCATAAATGCCTGAGTCATAGAAAACTGACGTTGGAATTTTCTTAAATAATAGGGAGTTGATCTGGGGTTACCTCCTATCACTCTTGGGAAATTTTTGCTTATGATTTCCAGAGGCATAAACAAGAAATGACCCAGGTCGTGTTGGTCTTACAAAATAAGCTGAATTAAGCTTTGTATGTCTGACTAGATGAGTTTTGTCTGTATTTTCTCCCTCTGTATTTGATTTTAACAGACCTAACTGAGCTTTCTGCTGTCTCCATCCTCTGCCCATGAGAACAGCTCACTGCAAACCTTCCATGGCCTCTCCTGGAGCATGATACAGTCTGTGTATCCTGAAGTGGGCTTCCTCAACTATTTCCAAAAAACTTATCTTTTTGACAGTTCTGAGCTTGACATTCATATAAATGGAACCATATAGTCAATGCTCTTGTTCAGTTGATTTCTTTTTCTCAAAAATTAATATTTTTGAAATGTACTCATGTGGGTTTATCCGTAGTTTATTCTTATTACTGTGTGGTATTCCAGTGCATTGATATACCAGGATTTGTTTATCCATTCACCTACGGATGGATATCTGGGTTGTACCAGGCTTGAACTATTATGGATAAAGCTCTTCTGAACATTCTTATACAAGTAATTATAGCTAAATGCATTTATTTCTTTCAAGTGTAGGCAGAAAAGTGAAATTGCTGATTCGTAGGGTAGATGCACGTTTGACTTCATTAGAAACAGTTGAACAGGTTTTCAGACTGGCCAATTTACAATACGGAGGGAGGGAGGGTTCCCGGGGCTCCCCATTCTCACCAGCATTTGATGACCTCGGTCTTTTTGTTGTTGGCCATTCTATGGGGAGTGCAGTGGGATCTCATTTGCATTTCACCAATGAGTGATGATGTTTGCTTTTTGGCCATTTCCATCTTCCTGTTTTCTCTTGTAAAGTGCCTGCTTTTTATACTTGTTCATTTTTAAGAAAATGGGTTGTCTTGATACCATTGCTTCGTAAGACATATTTTTATGTTCTAGGTAGGAGTCTTTGGACCATTAAATATGCGGAGTCTCTTTTCCCACGGTGGTTTGCCTATGAGCTTTCCTTACATTGCCTTTGGATGAGCTGAAATTTAACATGTTTGTTAAGTCTCATTTATCGGGGCGCCTGGGTGGCTCAGTGGGTTAAAGCCTCTGCCTTCGGCTTAGGTCATGATCTCAGGGTCCTGGGATCGAGCCCTGCATCGGGGCTCTCTGCTCAGAAGGGAGCCTGCTTCCTCCTCTCTCTGCCTGCCTCTCTGTCTACTTGTGATCTCTGTCTGTCAAATAAATAAATGAAATCTTTAAAAAAAGGTCTCATTTATCTTTTTTTTCTTTTACATTACATGTCTTTTGCATCCTGTCTAAAGCATGTTTGCCCAACTCCAAGATGAGTCTTTCTTTTCTAGTTCTTGCTCTGCTCTCCTGTGGCTGTCCCATTCCTTGTTCTTGCTCATGAGCTGAAAATGCTCCCCCTCCAAAATCACAAATTAGTCATCCCACTATCTGCCCAAACCTTCCTATCCCCACCACCTGCTCCTTGACTCTATTGGGATCTCCTTTCCATTGGTAACCATTCTTTGTTCGTATTCCACACTAAGGTCCTTCTACATTTTCATGAGCTCACACTAGGGTAGATTCAATGATTTTCCATTCTTTTGACACAGCCTTACAAGCCATCTTCATTCTTTCACCATGATCTTAGGTTGCCCTTACACTGCAGACACCAAGCCAGAAGGAGTGCATTATGTCTCTTGTTCCGGGCAATGCCTGTCCCAATGAGCCACGTGCTTGTACCAGTTAGCACCATGATAAACTGATGGTTACTAACCCTACCTGCCTTTACATCCCTGCTTTGAGATTCCAGTGCTCTTGTTGGCTTTCAAACATTTAAACTATTTTAAATGTTTAATTATCAAACATTTAAACTATTTCTAATATTTAAAACTTTTCTCACTCACCTTGAAATTTACCTGTTTCCCTTCTTGATGCTGAAATCAAAGGAGATTGTTGCAGCCAAGGGCGGTGCACAGTGAGAGGCATAACCCCAGGGAGTGGGGGTTCGGAGTGAGAGTTCCAAAGAGGGATCTGCATGGAGCATTGTGTTGCCCACCATGGAGGTGAGGCGAGTGCCCTGACTTGAACTTTGCTAGGTGACAGGAGGTAAGGAATATAGTCTTCCTGCATCTTCTTTAGAGTCTTTGTCCCCAAGTCACACTGTTTATTTTCACATTCATATTTCTCTACACTTCTGCTGACTATCTCAGCAATGCTAATTGCAGACTGTTAGGGCTTTTGTTACTGCTAATTGCAGAATGTTAGAACTTCTGTTACTGCTAATTGCAGAATGTTTGGGCTTTTGTTCCTTTTTTAAAATCAAAATACAGTCTCCATGTCTCATTTTCCCTTGCTATGTCTAGGAGTACACAGGTGTGGCAGGGAAAGGGAAGCCAGAAGGCGGGGAAGGGAGAAAGCATTCTATGGCTGGCATAAGCGTGTGGCTCTTATTGCCTGAGACAACTGGCCTGGGAGGATGAGAAGTGTGGGTCTCTGGGCACTCGAGCCCTGTAGCTAAGGGACACTGCTGCCTTGAGCAGGGAAAAGTAAGGACTCTGAAACATGACCTGGAGAAGGAAGCCGAGGGAACAGATCTTGCAAACCAGGACAGTTGGTGACCCTGCCTCCTTGCTCCTGCCATTTCTCCCAGGAGCTACACTCAACTGCAAGGTAGAGGAAAAAGGACCCCAGATAATACCATCCACAGAGGTTAGCGTCTCGGGACAGGACGGATCTGGAGGGCTAGACTTAAACTATCCAGAACATTATACCTGCTCTGGGCTTGAGGGCAGGAAATCCTGAGTTGGTTAAGCCTGAGCTGTAAGCCGATAAAGTCCTGGAATGGTTTCTGGGGAATCTGTACTCCTAGTAATTCATAAGCAATCCAGGCCCCTTTGGATCTGATCAGATGGACTGAATCTTGGTGATTCTGCAGCACTAGCCAGTCAGGACGGGTGTGTGCATGCTGCCGGGGGGAAAGGAAAACGTAATGACAAAGCTTGTTGTGAACCTGACATCTGAAAGGGGATTGGAGGACACGTAGGCAGAGTGGGAACAGGGTTTAGTCACAGCCAGCTCCTCACCCCAGCCAATGCACTGGTGGGCGGG